GAATTAATTTAAAAAGTAAAAGATGACACTTGTTCTGTTACACGCTGCAGTGTTTCACCAACCATTACTGCCGCAACTCACCTGAAGACCCTTTTACCACCTCTAAATAAGAACTTATTAATGGTCAGAAGTTCTTGGACATATGTGTTTGTGCTCAAAGCACTTGGGCACAGCATTGCTTAAAAAATAAAAATACTAGCTTCCAGAATCTGACTGTTTTTGTGCACCACGAGCATTGACCTCAACGGTGGTACATTGCTGGTTTTGTGCGCCACAAGCATGATGCTCATTAGGGTTGTGGTCAGGTGCGGTAACGATTTTGTGTGTATAACCAACAAAATCCTTCRGTTGCCCCTGGGTAACATCTTTCTGTGTATATCATGTGGGYACCTGCAGCTTATAGACAAGTGCAGAATATGTATGTACTTTTTTTTTATTTAGTGGGTGTGGCTTATATTCTGGTGTGCTCAATAGCCCAGAAATTATGGTAGTTGAAGCAAAAATACTGCCATTGCTGYCTGAGCACTTTTCAGCAACAAACTCACCAACAAACTTCTGACCARTCACAAAATACTTTTGTTTGCTGAGAGGGGCACAAAGTTCAGTCGGGGTCATGTGCCAGTAAGGGGTGGATGACATGAGGCTTAGTGTAAAATGATGCATTTTTTGTCAATTACGTCTAGAGAACAAWTTTCACAGGTTTAGATGGACCGTGCAGCATGAAGGGGTGAAATGGTTGGCTCAGCTGTAAAAATAAAGTAAGGAGCTCCTCACTTCTGTGGTGTAGTAGAACAGATGCTCCTCCACGTCAAAAGGAGTCAGCTGAGGTAGTTCATTATGGAAGCTGAGAGCCGCCATTTTCTGCATAGAGTTATTTTCAATGGTTTTCTMATGATAACGACATATTAAGTCGTAATCACAAAATAACGATGACTGTTTCTCGAGATAAGTTAATTTCCAGATGGAGATGGCCTGGTCCCCTCAGCTGGTCATTGATGAAGTTTACTAG